TACCTGACTTCAAACTATACAAGGCTACAGTAACCAAAACAGCATGGTGCTGGTACCAAAACCGAGATATAGACCAATGGAACGGAACAGAGCCCTCAGAAATAATACCACACATCTATAACCATCTGATCTTTGACAAACCTGACAAAAACAAGAAATGGGGAAAGGATTCCCTATTTAATAAATAGTGCTGGGAAAACTGGCTAGCCATATGTAGAGAGCTGAAACTAGATCCCTTCCTTACACCTTATACAAAAATTAATTCAAGATGGATTAAAGACTTAAATGTTAGACCTAAAACTATAAAAACCCTAGAAGAAATCCTAGGCAATACCATTCAGGACATAGGCATGGGCAAGGACTTCGTGACTAAAGCACCAAAAGCAATGGCAACAAAAGCCAAAATTGACAACTGGGATCTAATTAAACTAAAGAGCTTCTGCACAGCAAAAGAAACTACCATCAGAGTGAGCAGGCAACCTACAGAATGGGAGAAAATTTTTGCAATCCACTCATCTGACAAAGGGCTAATATCCAGAATCTATAAAGAACTCAAATAAATTTACAAGATAAAAACAAACCAACCCATCAAAAAGTGGGCAAAGGATATGAACAGACACTTTTCAAAAGAAGACATTTATGCAGCCAACAGACACATGAAAAAATGCTCATCATCACTCACTGTCAGAGAAATGCAAATCAAAACCACAATGAGATACCATCTCACACCAGTTAGAATGGCAATCATTAAAAAGCCAGGAAACAGCAGGTGCTGGAGAGGATGTGGAGAAATAGGAACACTTTTACACTGTTGGTGGGACTGTAAACTAGTTCAACCATTGTGGAAGACAGTGTGGCGATTCCTCAAGGATCTAGAACTAGAAATACCATTTGACCCAGCCAACCCATTACTGGGTATATATCCAAAGGATTATAAATCATGCTGCTATAAAGACACATGCACATGTATGTTTATTGCGGCCCTATTCACAATAGCAAAGACCTGGAACCAACCCAAATGTCCATCAATGATAGACTGGAATAAGAAAATGTGGCACATATACACCATGGAATACTATGCAGCCATAAAAAAGGATGAGTTCATGTCCTTTGTAGGGACATGGATGAAGCTGGAAACCATCATTCTGAGCAAACTATCGCAAGGACAGAAAACCAAACACCACATGTCCTCATAGGTGGGAACTGAACAATGAGATCACTTGGACACAGGGTGGGGAACATCACACACCAGGGCCTGTCATGGGGTGGGGGGAGGAGGAGAGGGACAGCATTAGGAGATATACCTAATGTAAATGACTAGTTAATGGGTGCAGCAAACCAACATGGCACATGTATACATATGTAACAAACCTGCAGGCTGTGCACATGTACCCTAGAACTTAAAGTATAATAAAAAATAATAATAATAAAAAGCAAGAGCCAACTGTATGTTCTATATAAGAAAGCTAATTTATATATAAATGCATAGTTAGGTTAAAAGTCATTCCTGTTGTTACCTGGCATATTAATTAAAAGCCTTTCCTAATATGCCCTTCACACAGTTCTTTTAACCCAAGAGACTCTTCTTGGTTTCATTTTGGACTGCAAACTGAAGCAAAGAAGGCATTAAAAAATCCAGTAACACAAAGTAGTTGTCGACTGGTTGTTTCTTCTATTATGGGGTTACTGTTACTTGTTTAAACTTCCCTCTTGCATCACAAGGTGTATACTGAGTGTAAAAGTTCCTTTGTAGGCTTTCTGACCCTTGTGGATCCACTTTGGCCTCTCTCTTGGCACAGTCTGTCATAGACTTTTCCTTGTAATTTAATATCACCTCCAGTTTGCATTAGCTTTTTTCAAGTTCTAGTTTTTAGAATATTCTGGGTGGTGTATTATCTTTCTGTAAAAGCATGGCCATGGATCTTTTACTGCTTTAAGTCTGGGGAAGCTGGTAGTTTTCAGAGGGGTAATATGTCTTTTTTGCCAGGAGGATTCTCAGATGCACACGATTTCCCAATGCTCTTTTGGAGTGTCTTTTTCATTTTAGTTGCTAGTCTCTTTAAAAGGCCAGAATTGTTGCTCTCAAAGATGCAAAGCCAATAAACCAGTTGAAAAGGACAACCAAAGCTAAAATTTTGCAGAGGCAAAATTTAGTTGGAAAAAGGTTCTTCATTATCAATCAAGCACGGTTTGTCAGAGTTGTGGTTAATTCACATGTTTTGGCTTCCAAATCCACTCTCTTTGACTATTATGTATATTACAGAAAGAGAAATCTTAATTTGCATTTTTTAACTTTTATTTTAAGTTCAGGGCTACATGTGCAGGATGTGCAGGTTTGTTACATAGGTACATATGTGTCATGGGGGTTTGTTGTACAGATTATTTCATCACTGAAGTCTTAAGCCTAGTATCCATTAGTTATTTTTCTTGAGGAATGACAGAGTTACAGCAGTCCCAGGGAGGGCAGACTTGTACCAATGTCACCACTCTCTACCTCTTATTTCCTTTTTGGTTGTATGGGCTGTGAGTATATCCTAATTGTGTTGTTGTGTCCATAGCTACGGCATTGGGTATTGTCATGGAATTCAACATTAGAAAGTATAATGGGAATACATAAGCAATTGGAATGGTTCCAGAACTTAGATCATTTCTAGGGGAGATTAGGTGACTTACAATGTGACCTCTAAAATAAAAAGTATATGGAGGTTGAAACTTTTGTTACTTAAATATATACTGAATTATCCTTACTTGGTATGCCTTGTAAAACGAAGGAGAATCTGAAGTGCTAATGAGGTTAAATAATCATATAGTTATCTTGCTGTGTTGCTGTGTGGGCATGCACGTGCACACACAAGCACACACACACACATATTTATTTTTAAATGCGTAGCCAATTGGGTATTGGGTATGGGTGCTTCTCTCCTGACATATTGGTCCAATTCAGGTTCTTTGAACCAAATGAGTCAGTTTTAAATGAGGAGAGAGAACGAGAGGAGAGGTTTAGAGAATGGAAAGAACACAGGATTCTTTAGCCTCAGGTTGTTAATAGCAGAAGAGATTAGCCTCTGGATGCTGCCTAGAGGCATATAAATAGATAGAAATAAAATGTGATTATAGCAGTCTCTGGTTTTAAAGAAATAACAGCATGAAAACAACTTTCCTCATTCATGAGCATGTAAATGCTAATAAAACCCCTCGGCAGGCAGGCCTGCACAACTGAGGCCTGGTTCCCTGTGAGAGTCTGGGCATGGGGCTGTGGACTCTGTCTAAAAGTGGTTTAAAAGCAACTGTAGTCTGGGGGCCAGCTGGACCAATGTGCTCGTTACAGTTGCAGGTTCCCAGTGCCATATTTATGCACTTGTATCTGGTACAGTCATTCCGATGTATGGCGAGATTTGGGAACTGCTTGCTGACTTAGAGTATCTTTACATGACATACATACTACAAAAGACGTTCTCTTACCACAGGGACTTTTGATTACTGTGTGTCTGCTTATTTTACAAATTCATTTCTTCAGCAAATATTTATCGAACGCCTACTCTGTGCCAGATACTGAGCTAGGCATGGAGTTATAACAGTGAACAAGATTGATACAGTTTTTCTTCATGAAATGGAGAGATAACAAGTCAACAAATGAATAATTGTGATGAGAACTATGAAAGATGCAATGGGATATGATAATGGAGCATAATGGAGGCAGGAGCAGTTAGTGTTTAAAATAAAATGATGGTTAGAGAAGGCTTTTCTGACAAGGCAGCATTTAAACTAAGACTGGGATTTAAAGTAATCAGCCATATGAACAACATCCCAAGCAGTATAAAAAAACATGTACAAAGGCACTGAGGCAGGATTAGCCCTGATGTGTTTCAGGAATGGATCAAAAGCTGGAGTGGCAGGAGCCCAGCAAGCCAGGGGAAGGAAGGTATGAGATTAGGCAGTAGGCATCAGAGTAGGCATCAGAGTCCCTTGAGGAACATGGTGGGGATTGAGAGGGGTATCAGAAGTTTATCTGGAAAAAGGAGTCTACAGCTGAGAGGAAACGCCTACTTTTAGGACCTGAATTTGGGAGTCATTAGCATTTTGATGGAAAATTACCAGAATGGGTAGTCTAACGTAGGGAGAGGCTACTGAGAGAGGATAGAGGGGGCAGAGCTGTACCATGCTCTTCTGCAAAACCTGGTAAGAGTAGACTTGCAGCAGCCAAGGATAGGCGGAAGTGGGAGGGTGGAAGGAAAGCCAGGAGGTTGTAGGCCTGTGGAAGCCGCAGAGGACAATGCTCAAAGAGAGATGGTTGGTTGCATCGCCGCTGCTGACGTCTAGAATGGTGCTGTCCAGTATGGTGGTCACGAGCTGCCTGTGGCTATTGAAAGGTGACTAGTGCAAACTGAGATGTGCTGTCAGTGTAAAATAAAATGCACACTGGATTTTGAAGACTTAGTATAAAAACAAGAATGCAAAATATTAATTTTAAAGTAATCATTATATGTTGAAATATTTAGGATCTGTTGGGTTGAATAAAAAATATTAAAATTTCACCTGCTTCTCTTTACTATTTTAAAACGTGGCTACCAGAAGTTTAAGATGACATGTGTGGCTTGCACTGTATTTCTATTGCAGAGTTTGGCAACGTGGAGGTCATTGGAAAACGTGATAAGAGCAGACTGCCTGGGATTAAGTAATAACTAACAAATTGTTTATATGCTGATGAGACTAAGCTATTGTTATAATACTATTTTGCCCAAAAGTAAATAGAGAATCTCACCACTAAAATTTTTTCTAGACTTATTGATATGTAAGTGATTTAATAATGTCACCTAATTGACATAATATATCATATAATATGTTAAATTTAAATTGTAATAGGATTTAAATTAAATCTTTTGAAATCAACTCTCAAATGTGGTTTTTTTTTTTTTACATTTTTTAACCTGTATTTTTTTCCTTTTTATGGTTTTTAAATTTTTATTTAAATTATTTTATTTTCTTTCATATCTGGCCAGGAAACTTCATGGTGTTATGGTCAACTTGCCGCACAACCGTGTTCAAATCTGTCACCAACAGGTTCATTAAAAACCTGGCCTGCTCGGGGATTTGTGCCAGCCTGGTCTGTGTGCCCTTCGACATCATCCTCAGCACCAGTCCTCACTGTTGCTGGTGGATCTACACCATGCTCTTCTGCAAGGTCGTCAAATTTTTGCACAAAGTCTTCTGTTCTGTGACCATCCTCAGCTTCCCTGCTATTGCTTTGGACAGGTAAGATCAGGTAGCCAGGAGCTAACTTTCTTTTGAGTTGTATTAAAAAATTAGCATCATGAGGCAAATGAGTAGTCAGTGTTCCGTGTACTGCTTTTTAGTCTGCTTGTGATGAACAGAAAGAGAATAAATGTCCAAAACAGATGCCTCACAAAGGACAGGTTGATTTAGCAACAGCCAGGGAAAACAGAACCATTGAGAGAAGACCTGGGGGTGGGAGTTCCATGGTGAGGATGCTGGGGCGGAGCTGCTAGATCACGGTGTCACTTCAGCGTGGTTGCAGTTGGTGGTATTTGTGTTGTAATTTGCAGTAGATTTTTCATCTGATCGGTAACTCTGCAACGAGGGCTTTTTGATGCAGTATGGAACATCTCTGAAAGAAAAAGGGAATGATTCAGTGGTTATTTAACAAATGATTAGATGGTCCAGTTGGATCTGGCCAGGTAACACCAGAATTCCTCTGGAGGATTGATTTCCAAGGCTTCATATTGCAGTGGTGATTGCTTTCTCTTCACATCCTCTTTAAAAGGATGTTCATTTGGAAGTGAACCTTACCTCTCAGTTACTGCAATTCTACATAATTTGATCAATTTTATGAAAATTGTGTAAAGATCTCATAATCAGCAAATTCCTGCCTTTTTCTTTTCTAGCTAGTGCTTCATGAATACAGTTTAGATAATATATTCTAGAGAATTGAATTAAGTAAGCAAGCAAAAATTGAAAAGTATTTTATATCCATGAGTACTTTTGATTTCAAGATTAACAGAGAGGAAACATTGCTGAAGGGAAAGTTCTGGCTGTTCTGATTTTATGCCCTATGTTAAAATTTAACTACATTTTAGATTAATGTGAAAATTTAGAACTCTTTGTCCATTCAAAACATAATACCTTAATGACCTGTGAGGGTATTGATTATATAACTCACCTGTAGAGTCATTTCAGCCTCTCAGGCCAGGGACTCTGATTTCTTCAGCTGCCTGATGCTGTCTGCATGGAGGGACACAGAGTTACATGAAGCCCCCAGCATACTGGGAGAAGTCATTGCCGTTGTGGTTAAGAGAATGGATGTTGGAATAGAAGCCTGACTTTGAGTCCTGCCTACATAGGTTTCTAGCTGAGTGGCTTTGGGTAAAGTTGCTTAAACTTTCTGAGCCTCAGATTCCAGAGCAGTAGAAAGAATTAAGCGAATTATTTATGGCCTGTGTTAGGATGGGCTGCACCAATATTTGCCTCTCTTTCTCAGGCTTCCCTTCTGATGGCACATTCTTCCTTAGATATATTTCTGCAATCATGTTACCATCAAATCTTGCCAGGAGCAGCTGCAGCTCTTTAGAAGGGACTGGAATCTCACCATCCATGGAGCCAAACAAGGCAGGTGACAAGTCAAGCCATAACAGGCCAGGTTGCAGTTGTGGCCTGTGAAGAGTGTGTCCACATTTCCGTTCATGGGGATCAGCCGCTCAGCAGTTGCAGCTAATAATTGCTTTGTAGGAATCTAGATTCAGTGGGCAGGACTTTTCTATTCTTTCAGAAGAGGAATAAAAAAATCTAGAATTCCATAATTTAAAATGTTGGCAATTAATATTTTTTCAAAAAGTATTATGTGGGTCATCCGAATCCCTTTAGCAAGGTGAACGTATGCCCTGAGATGCCAATTTACCACACCTGCTTTATGGTGACGTTGCATGTCTCTTCCATTGCTTTTTGAATATCTGGAAAGTGCCATTGCACAGGACTCGAATATAAGAGTGAAGTCAGAGTCCTTTCTCAAGAGTGCTTCTGGTGGGTACGCTAATGCCTTTTATGTCGAACCATTTTGTGTTCAGTGTCCTGCTGAATTCCCCCGGTACTACCTGCTCTGGTAAAGTCTTAAGTCTTCAGTTTGATATTCTGGACTGAGATATAATTTACATATGATAAAATTCACCTATTTAAAGTATACAAGTCAATGAATTTTAGTATATTTATAGAGTTGTACAGCCACCGTCACAATATAATTTTAACATATTTCCATTAACTCACGAAGAAACTTGTGCCCATTTACTTACAGTCACTCCTTGTGCCCAGACCATAGCAGCCATGAGTCTACTTTCTTTTTCTGTATGTTTACGTTATTGGACATTACATGTAAGTGGAATCGTACAATGTGTGTTCTTTTGTGTCTGGCTTCTTTCACTCAGCATGTTTTCAAAGTTCGTGTTATAGAATGTATCAGTACTTCATTCATTTTCATGGCCAAATAATATATTCATTCAATTTTAGGAGTATACCGAATCTGTTTCTCCATTTACGAGTTGGTGGATATTTAGGTTGTTTCTACTTTTTGGATATTGTGAGTAATGCTGCTGTGAATCCTGAAAGGTTTTCTTTTTTTAAATAAGACTCAACAAGAAGGAGAATACGTTATTCTGAACAGTTTGCTGTTACACCTGGAAGTAGTGCAGTAATCCCTGTGGGTTATTTCTGGGGCCTTGGTCTTAAACAAAGAAATACGAAAACAGTAAGAAATTCTCATTTTCTTTCCAGCAGAAAAGCTATTGTAATTTTACCATAATTTTAAAAAGTAAAACAAGTCTTTTTAGTAGGAAAACGGGGCTGATAAATTCCTATTTTGTTATTCACAGATGCAGATTACTCTCAAGCATCTGCATGTACACCTGAAGAAGAGAAGACAGTCTTTTCTCTCACTTCCTTCATAACTATTTGTTTCATGGCACTAAGTCAGCAGTTTAATCGGGAGGTCATCTACACTTCTTGCTTCACCGTTTAGAGGTGTACACACTCCAGCCTGGGCAACAGAGCCAGACTCCATCTCAAAAAAAAAAAGAACATTATTTATAGTGAGCCTGTGTGCTTATGTTGCAATCTGCTTCCCAACACATAACAGGATTGGAAATTAATGGAAGCCTGGGTTTGTTACATGTCAGTGAGCAAATGGCAGTCAGAGCTAGTGAACTCCTAAGCATGTATTCACGTGTAGGGGTGTGTAGGACATGTATTCATGTGTAGGACTGGCAGTCAGAGCCAGTGAACTCCTAAGCATGTATTCATGTGTAGGGGTGTGTAGGACATGTGTTCATGTGTAGGACTGGCAGTCAGAGCCAGTGAACTCCTAAGCATGTATTCATGTGTAGGAGTGTGTAGGACATGTATTCATGTGTAGGGGTGTGTAGGACATGTATTCACGTGTAGGGGTGTGTAGGACATGTATTCATGTGTAGGACTGGCAGTCAGAGCCAGTGAACTCCTAAGCATGTATTCATGTGTAGGGGTGGGGCCATCACATATTTACTGAGTCGTCCTTAGAAAACTACCTATATTCAGAGAAAAAAAAGTGAAAGCATGCATCACTTAGGTACTTCTTTCTCTTTTTCCCTCCTCCCAGAAAGAAATCTAGAACACATCTTACCATGCTCCCTCCTTCCCCGATTGTCCGTGGTCACTATTGTGTTTACATCCCATCTCTCTCAGCCTGGAATGTTCCCCTTCTGCTGGTCCCCCTGCCAGACTCCACTGCAGTGTCTCCTTCTCTTGCTATTTTCCCAGGTGGCTTTAGGCGCTACCTGTACCTCCTTTGTGCCTGCGGCTAGTAGAGCTGTCATCTCCTTGTTCGTAATTGTTAGTGTGTGTATCTTTGTCCCCATTGGGTTTAGAGACATTCCTGTGTCTTTTCATTCTTATAACCCAGTGCCAGGCACAGGACCTGGTGCATAGGTGGTGCTCAGAAGTACCTGTTACAGGAGGCTGGGCACAGTGACTCACGTCTGTAATGCAACCACTTTGGGAGGCCGAGGCAGATGGATCAACTGAGGTCAGGAGTTTGAGACCAGACTGGGCCAACATGGCGAAACTCCGTCTCTACTAAAAATATAAAAATTAGCCAGGCATGGTAGTGCATGTCTGTAATTCCAGCTGCTTGAGAGACTGAAGTAGGAGAATGGCTTGAACCCAGGAGGCGAAGGTTGCAATGAGCCTAGATTGCACTACTGCACTCCAGCCTGGGCGACAGAGTGAGACTCTATCTCAAAAAAAAAAAAAAAAAAAGAAGTACGTGTTATTGGAAGGCTTGCCTGCTTACTTGCCCTATAAGTGAATGGGTGTCACTAAGGTTGTAAGGTCAACCCTAGCATTAACTGACTGCACAGATATGGCCAAACTAATGTGAAGAAACTGACCATATCTCTGAGGGCTAGTAGCAGCCCTTTTACTACAGATGTGGTTCTAGGGTCCAAAGAGTTACTCGGTTCCCTCAAATCTCTGGTGATACTGAAACAGCGTGCTTTTGGAATTCTGTTTAGGTGGTTACAGACAATCAAATTAATGGTTGGAAGGAAAACCAATGTCTCATCTGATTTTAACAAAAATCTAATTGTGCAGGCATTTTAGACCTATTAATTGCCCTGAGGATTACTGAGTGATTATCGTGGGAGCAATGACTGTTGAGCAGGCATAACTCTTGTCAGCTGAATTGATTTTTGTGAAAGGACCTTGTCAGAATCCATTCTTCATCCTGGGTTCTTCTGCCCTGAACAGCTGTAATTGCTAATGATATCTGGACTGTGGCGTAGTCTGCTTTAGATATGTGTGTAGACAAACTGATTTCTGTTGGTAGCTTTGAAGATTGCCCTAAAGCTTCTTTAGCCCACGTAAAATTTTTTACCAATTACCCTTTACCCTCAAATTGAAAAGTAGATATCTTTATAGCAGATGGAGAAATCTTTTATATTGAGAGCACTCTTTGAGATTTCATCCTGGTAGCAACAATGATAAAGCTAGCTATGAATTGAAATTGTTTCCTTGTTTTCCTGTAACGCGTGGTGAGGACAGGGCTTTCCTCTGCCGCTTTGGAAAGGTTTCTGTTTTTTCGTCTAGTGACGCTTCTTATTGTACTTGCAAAGTCCTCAAAACTTAAGGTCTGGCTTCTGGGATTCCCTCAGTGTTTCTTTATCTTAGGCTGAATAAAAGAACTTGACCTTTCTTCCCTCTCACCTGCTTTTGGTGATATAGATTCCGCTAATTTAAGAAGTGTCTTCTGTGGAATTAATTTTGTTTGTGTATCTTGCAGGTACTACTCAGTCCTCTATCCACTGGAGAGGAAAATATCTGATGCCAAGTCCCGTGAACTGGTGATGTACATCTGGGCCCATGCAGTGGTGGCCAGTGTCCCTGTGTTTGCAGTAACCAATGTGGCCGACATCTATGCCACGTCCACCTGCACGGAAGTCTGGAGCAACTCCTTGGGCCACCTCGTGTACGTTCTGGTGTATAACATCACCACGGTCATTGTGCCTGTGGCGGTGGTGTTCCTCTTCTTGATACTGATCCGACGGGCCCTGAGTGCCAGCCAGAAGAAGAAGGTCATCATAGCAGCGCTCCGGACCCCACAGAACACCATCTCTATTCCCTATGCCTCCCAGCGGGAGGCCGAGCTGCATGCCACCCTGCTCTCCATGGTGATGGTCTTCATCTTGTGTAGCGTGCCCTATGCCACCCTGGTCGTCTACCAGACCGTGCTCAATGTCCCCGACACTTCCGTCTTCTTGCTGCTCACTGCCATTTGGCTCCCCAAAGTCTCCCTGCTGGCAAACCCTGTTCTCTTTCTTACTGTGAACAAATCTGTCCGCAAGTGCTTGATAGGGACCCTGGTACAACTACACCACCGGTACAGTCGCCGTAATGTGGTCAGTACAGGGAGCGGCGTGGCTGAGGCCAGCCTGGAACCCAGCATACGCTCGGGCAGCCAGCTCCTGGAGATGTTCCACATTGGGCAGCAGCAGATCTTTAAGCCCACAGAGGATGAGGAAGAGAGTGAGGCCAAGTACATTGGCTCAGCTGACTTCCAGGCCAAGGAGATATTTAGCACCTGCCTGGAGGGAGAGCAGGGGCCACAGTTTGTGCCCTCTGCCCCACCCTTGGGCACAGTGGACTCTATATCCCAGGTGGCACCAGCAGCCCCTGTGGAACCTGAAACATTCCCTGATAAGTATTCCCTGCAGTTTGGCTTTGGGCCTTTTGAGTTGCCTCCTCAGTGGCTCTCAGAGACCCGAAACAGCAAGAAGCGGCTGCTTCCCCCCTTGGGTAACACCCCAGAAGAGCTGATCCAGACAAAGGTGCCCAAAGTTGGCAGGGTGGAGCGGAAGATGAGCAGGAACAATAAAGTGAGCATTTTTCCAAAGGTGGATTCCTAGCAAGGATGGTCTTGGAAGCAATGGGGAGCTTCCATATCCCACCAGAGTGTGGGAATACTGTGGCCATATGATTGTATGATCTCCTTGCAACTCAGTATGAGTTGATTCCTGCAATATGGGCCAGATGCTTTTGAATGATAGGGAAATCTACATAAAATCCAGTGTCCTCTTTATTGAGGGAGTATACATATCCATCTCAGTGGTCCGTGTCCTTAGTGAAGTCCACATTATTCTCTGTGGGGACAAGAGCTGGGCAGTTTCGAATGGGTCTTGAGGCGGGTATTCCGTGTACACTTTCTGGGGATGCCTCGCTTCCCTGGGCTCCGCAGAGAACACACGGAGAGAAGACTTTCAGAGCTCCCAGGGAGCAGGAACACTCTAAGGGAATTCCAAGATCATGATGGAGCAGGGTGGCCCCAGAGAAAATGCCTGTTTGATTAACTTAAACATGTAAAACATTTTCTATTGAGAAGATAGGGATTTGGCATCTTACACCATTTCTCTGGAAGCCCGAGTCATATGACTCAACTGTTTCTCCTGATACCCTTCATCCCTTTCATTGGGATGTAGGTGAGGGATGACGATTCCACACCTATGGTAGACATGACAATAGATGTGGCCAGGATTAAGGGAGATATTTCATCCTTGATAATTCTGATTTTCCCTTGGCACCACCAACGCCTCAGAGAGATCCACCTGCCCCCTCCGGTCAGGGTCAGTGGTGGTTGGAAAACACTGAAAAGTCTTCACTATGTGTTTCACCTTAAATTGTGTTTTCTCAACAAATGAGAGAGAAGCTTACAGGGGGAGATGCCTGAGAGATGCCTCTAGCGCTGTAGTTTTTTTCTCTTCCCTATGATCTCGCATGAAGGGTGCTATGTAACAACCAGTATGAGTCAAGTGTATTGAAAAAATCATCTTCTGCAAACTTTTGGAATTAAAAGGTATTTTTTAAATGGAGAGTTAGTGTAAGCTGGGTTCTTTGGAAACATCAAACTGAAAAGACCTGATTTGGAAAGGTGATTCTGCCCGAAAGGTTGGCAAGAATCTGACAAAGATGGTTTCCTTCCGAGGAAGACTCCAGAACTCAGGTATGGCCAGTCTCCTTTTCAGTCTGTTTGTACAACTGTGGTTCTCTCTTAATTTTGGACACAGAGGAGGAACAGAACAGGGAGAAATAGTCATTGTAGAGTGCCAAGGCAACATCTGGCCCAGATGAGCTCTTCACTTCCTCCTTCCCTGTCTTTGTAGGAGCCAGAGTGGGTAGAAGAGGGAGGGCAGTGTCCTCAACTCATCAGCCTCACAAGCAATTTGGGACCCCTCTGGGGTGGATTTCACCGGGTTGAATTAGAACCGCCGATAACACTTCCCTGTTAGTGAGGACAAACCAAGTGCCAGCTCTGCCCTTTTCTCTAGGGTGTTTTGTTCTTGCTCTTGGTACTTAGGGGAGCTAGTCTGGTGCCTTGAGCAAGCTTGAAGGGAAGTGGGTGTCCTCATCAGCAAACTTCCGCATCTCCATTCGTCCCCTCTTTTGACCACACTGGCCCTGTCTCTTGGAGGGAGCCTAGACCCTGTAGGGAGTTTTGTTTTCCTTACTTCTCTTGGGTGTGGTGTCTTGTGTTTCCTGAACATTAACCCAAAGACCCTGCCCCTGGAGAGGAAGCACCTTCCTCTTTGTGTTGGTCTCCTCATAACACTGTTTGCTCACAGCAGAAACGGGGCTGCCACACCCTCCCACGACTCCACTGCCTCCCGGGCCCTGTGTGCATGGCATCTATAGCTCCTTGCCCTGATAGTGAGCGCTGTGGCCCTTCAAGCTTATCTTTCAAAACTTTCACAATCATTACAACTTTTATCAAGGGGAATAATAATCTCTAGGAAAATTGTGTCCACTTTAGGAGAATCTGTCAAGTGTAGCCACTTTGGTGTTGTTCTGATAATATACTGTATATGTACAACTTAATAAATTTTGATGAGGCAGAATCTGGTTGGGTATGTTTCTTATGTATGTTGGAAGCAGATGGCTGACTTCTAACAGGTCATTGCCAGGTGTATTTCTATACTCTTTGAAGAATAACATTTTAATAAAAAAATGAAAAGCAGTTTCTGAAATCAAGAAAAGTTGTATGAGCTATATTTTCTCCCCTTTTTATCTCCCTCAAGTGATATACTGTTGGAACCTGTCTCTTCCTACAGGGTCTCAGATGAAAGATACTCATTTTTTTTTTTTCCTCATGAATGCAGATGTGTCATTTCAGTAGCATTTTCTTGTGTTGTTGCAACTAAAAGAAAATAAGTTCCCTAAGGAGAAAATGCAACATCTGAAAAAATATCACCAAGATGGGTTCCAGATTTTGGCGATGGACACCCAAATCTCTAGGCGGAGCTACACAAGGGAAGCCTGGAGTGCAGCCATCATCACCCCTCCTGTGTGGGAGCGGCGTCAGGAGCACAACAGTTAGGGCCATGAGCTTTGAGGTCAGATGGCCTGTGTTTAAATCCTGGCCCCACACTGACTAGCCTTGTGACCTTGGGAGGATGAAGTCACCTCCATGTACCTCAGTTCCCTCTCTGTAAAATGGGAGGATAATAATTGTGTCAGAAGCTTCTGTTGCCCCTACTCACATATTTCACCTATGACTTTAGCTGTGTCCACAGTGGGCTGTTGCTGGCGGCATCTACTCACTTCCCTGAAAGCAGAGCTCCCTGTGTCTGGGAATAATCCTTGGCCTGTGGGGCATGGGAACCACTGGATAAATGCCCCTGCTTCCTGTCCTGCTGGACAATTGTAGGAGGCCTCTGTCCAGTTCTCAAGAGGTCACTGACACAGAGTTAAGTCCCTGTGGCCCACCATGGTGCTTCAATAGCGCAGCCTTCTATTGACTCTGCTTTCTCCTTCTCCGATTCGCTTTCTACAGCCCTCATTCACACCCTCAGGGATCACCTCCCAAACATCCTACCTGCACAAAGCCCTCGTCTCAAGCTCTGTTTTCAGGGAGTCCGAGTGAGGCATGGAGCGCCTGTTAGGATTACATGAGATAATCTGTTTAACACAATGCCTGGCACAGAGTACAGCTGTATCAGTGTTAGCACTTACACAGTACATAAAAAAAATAAAGTGGCTAGGCAGCTTATGTGGAATATTCTTGGAAAACTACAGGTCTTTTCCCCAGTTATTCTAACAGTAATTCATATTCATAATGATGATACTTTGGGGTAATACATAATGCCAAGGGACTATTAGATTCCCTAAAGAAAAAATAACTGTGTAAGCCAGAGTATTTCTTAACTAGACAATTCCCAGTTGAAAAAAAATAGGATGTTCAAAGAAGGTTCACCTTGGCCACTAACCTGTAGGCCATATCTGAATATGAATGCACTCAATGACTGTTTTGAAGTAAGAGCAGAGCGGAGTACACAGGATATCGAACGACAGATATACAAATCCGAAGTGGCCCCAGCTGTAGGAAAGAAACTGCAAGTTAGTTGGTGGGCTAAGTGAACATCTGGAGTTCAAGCACCGGTCTGATTCATCTGAGGAGAAAAGCCACTCCTGCATCCCAGCTGGGTACTGCTGAGCTCTTGGCAGACCTGCGCCAGAGGTGAGGTGGTTCTGCGCACATGCAGCTGCTGCTACAGGTCGGATCAGAGATGCACAAGGGAAAAAGTTTATTACGGGCGGAATTTTGGTGGAGGGAAAGGGTTAATGCTTTCATGGTGTAGTCTACCAATGTCTCAACATACAATGTCAGTAATACCATAGCAGAGCGATGCACTTTCCCCAAATAGTTGTAAGTATGTCGCAGATTCATATCCCAACTAATGTGCCACATTAGAGCTCTGTAACCAAAAGAGAAATGAGTCATGGTAAATAAACTGGGAATCTGTGAATGAAATAGGAATTGAAATAAGTATCAATGCCCAGGGCAGCATCAAAAGCATTTTTGTGCAAGACGTATAAAATAAATGGAAATGAGCTTAGATTCCCCATACGTGAGGTTTCAGAAGATAAAACAGCTCCCTTTTTCTTAGCCTCAGTTTCAACCCGTCTCCCCGCCATTTGTGCGAAAGGTATCCGTTAGTTGATCAGTAGAATAAAGGTCTGGCAACCTGTATGGAAATGAAACTCTGATCTCCAGCATTGTTTATGCAAACCTCTATAGCACTTCATGTCCTGGGGATTCAGGGGTTCTTATTGCCAGATTGAAATGAGTGAATGGTGAATGAATACATAAGAGATACAGCACCTGGAGCAGGGGCGCGGTCTCTGTCGTGTAAGAGTGATGAAAGATTTGCTTTCAGTGGAGTTATTGCTGGCTCTTATTGATTTCCTTGGAATGACTCCTGCAGAGTTAAAAGGCATCAAATGCAAGGCCTTTGATCCATCTCCTTCTTCAAACACCCAAGCCTCCTTTTAATTCACTAGGAGTGTAAGTTCCAAAGTTGGAGGGGAAGTTCAATACTGAGAAACACAGTTCCAGGCATGTGTGTTGGGCTTGAAGAATAGTTCTTTTATCAGCTATTTCGATCAGAACTTAGTGATGAAGTCTTTCTGCCTCCCTCAGATTTCTTTTTATATGTGTATTCATTGCAGTCCGTATACAAAATGTAATATACACACAGAGGAGTTACTAGAATACACACGTGGTATACATTGTAAGGCAACAGGTGAGAAAATAGAACACACGGCATGATGCTCTTGCTGTATTAACCATATTCCCTGTGCATCTAACTTCTCTTCTGCCTTTGCCTGGCCCCTCTCATTCACATGCATTGCCTCAGGGTAGGGGATGAGGCTTTCACTGCCTCAAGGAAAAGCAGATATCCTTTGAATCTCTTCCTAGCTTTTGTGTCTCAAAAACCAGGTTTTAGGAGAACAGAGGGGACTCTTGGGGTTAAGCCAGTGAAGTTTTGGTCATAATTATCAAGAAGTGGGGCATGCTCTAGGCATCTACTGGATAAAGGTCAGGAATGCTGTCAAATGCCCTCTAACGCAGAGGACGGCCCTCACAACAAAGAATTGTCTGGTCCAAAATACCAGCAGTGCTAAGGTTGAGACACTCCGGGTTAGACAAAAGTTTGAGGTGATCTGAGGAGGGTGGGACCGTCTCCCTAACCCTTACCTCTGTCCTCCATGCAAACCCAGGTTATTTATGGAGAAAACAGAAGAAATTTAAAGAGAGTTGTCTAGGTCATGAGACATCTGCTCGAGGGAAAAATGCCAGCCTGGCTGCTTTCCCTCAGTTGGGTATCTGCTTCAGGATGGACTTGCTGATCTGCCCTCTGAATTTGGAGGTGTGAGAAAGGAACTGGAGAGAGATGACAGAGTAAACAGAGAGGGCATCCTGCACACCCACCCTGTGGCATGGTGAGAATGGGTGATTTTTCTCAA